TTGGTCAAAGAAAGTCAACGGTCAACGGTCAACGGTCGGGTCGGGTCGGGTCAACGGTCGGGTCGGGTCGGGTCAACGGTCGGGTCGGGTCGGGTCAAAGGTCGGGTCGGGTCGGACCGGTCAAACCGATTCAGACCGGTCAAACCGGTTCGAACCGGTTGAAACCGGTCAAACCGGTCAGAACCGGTTGAAAACCGGTTAAACCGGTTTCCAGCAGCCACTCGCCCTGCGGCGGCGCGTGTGGCGCGTGAGGCGTCCTCCGGGGCCCTAAAAATCCCGGAAAAATTTCTAAAAATTATTTGAGCGATTTCAAGATACTTACAACGATCGGTTCAAATTTTTGAACGGCGGAGAGCTCGATTTCAAATCGGCCGAATCTTTGACTGCACCACCTCCTCACGCGCCGCCGTCTACGGCGGACAAGGTTGACACCGGTGAACTCGGAACGGCACAAGGAACACGATGGTGCGGGAGGTGTCGTAAACGGAGCAACGATCAGCGGTGAATTTAAGATTTCCTCGGCGATAGAGCTAACAAAACCGTCGCTACTTTGACTGGAAATTCCCGACGTTTGGCCGCGTTTCGCTTCAATTAATTTGAAGGGTTTGTTCCTCGCTCGATGATGAACACAACGGTGGTTTCAAAACAACGATCGGAATTCGGACGGAGTCGGAATCGGCTTTGAAGTAGAGTGCGGGAGGAGAAATTTCACAATTGTTTTCTGTTTTGAAAACAGAAAACCATTCATACGCTTAAATGAACTTTTCTGCCGACACTAAAAGGAGTAATGCAGGGCTTGGTCCCTAAATTTCCTTTAACTTCTAAAATGGCCTAAAATTTTGAAAACTTTCGATTTAATCCTCAAATTTTGCCAAATTACTTAATTAAATTTTTTTTTCTCTAAATTTTATTCCGAGTTGTTACACAACGTATTCCTTACACTATCAGATCAGAAATTTTTCAATCTATGTTGGCATGTACACCTTTTATGACATTTTGGACTTCGGTTTATGCCGAGAATCGGCTAAACCATAGCTCTGATACCATTAAATGTAACACCCCCAACCCGTATCCGACCCGGATACGAGTCCGAAGTGTCACATTGACTTTTCAAACCTTGACTCTTAAGAAAAATCTCGGGAAATTTAAAACTTTATTTAAATCAAAATAAAGACTTTATCAGAGTGCTCGTACTTAATGACTTATTACATGCCAACACTTTATACATAACCAAATACATACTTTGTCAACTATTTCTGATCTGATCTTTTGGTAAGGAAAACTGACCTGTCTTGCTCCGCATCACTCCTTACTCTTCTCGAAACCTACGTGTGAAACAATCACACGCTAAGTCGAAGACTTAGTGAGGCATAACAACTTATAATGCACTTTAAAACATATATTGATACATGCATGTTCTGTTCTATCATGTTATAGCAATTCCATGCATTTTTCATATTGTATAAAATCATATCAGATTAATTGTAGTAAATACATACATACACATAATTCATCATTAACAGTTTATCATAATCACATACTTTTTCAATCAAACACTATACACACAACATCATATCATTTCTATAGCATTTATCATACCACTAACTTATATTTGTTCATATCTCTGGATTAGCCCATGTACATATGTGAGAACTATCGATATGTGAGTCTATAGAGGTTGTGCACTATGCTGTCACCACAGCTCGTATAAATGCACCGAAGTGCCCCGTAGAATTGCACCGTAGTGCCATATAATGATGTCCATAAGGACCACGTAGAATTCTTTAAGAATCATATACATATGCTAGGGATCAAGTATGTGTCTTTCCAGACTTCACACATGTTCCAAAGAATATACATATGTCCCGAAGAACCGTATAGAATTGCACCGTAGTGCCATATAATAATGTCCATAAGGACCACATAGAATTCTTTAAGAATCATATACATATGCTAGGGATCAAGTATGTGTCTTTCTAGACTTCACACATGTTCCAAAGAATATACATATGTCTCGAAGAACCGCGTAGACCCTCGACTCTTGGCATGCCAACTATACCCCTAGCTCTCATGACACATAACATGGGCGTTATCATTTATTTCATTTCAAATATTCACATAACTTGTAATTCACTTTCACATATCACTTATCACATAGCTTCTTTTCATATTATCACATAGTCACGTAGTTCACTTATACTAGATCATTTCCATATAATTCACATGTCACATACTCATCATATCTTGTTTACATATGATCATATACTTCATATAAGATAGGAACACTTTCACGTAGCTTATAATCATAGGTTTTGTCTCATAACATATACTTGTTTTCACATATATTTCATATCAATTCTTTACCATCACATAATTCCTTTAACATACATAACATATCATGTAACATTATAGTGGAAATATCTATAAGTCATATCACTTAGAGCACATACACTTATAGTCACATTGTTTATATCTTAATCTTATGCCTTCTCTTAGACATATATATATATATTCACATGTTCGGTAATCCACCATTTCATCACATAATTGTGTATTCATATAACTCATTTCATTTCATTTCATATCTATCTATATATATATCCTCAAGATTATCCTAATATAAATCATATAGCACTCTTATATTTCGTATTCATATTCATCTAGGGCAGACTTATAAACATATCTCACTTCTATTATTTCTCTATATATGATCTAATCTGTTTACTTAATTCAATTTCATATAACTCCTATAATCTTCTCATATAACTTCATAATTTTCTATCATACAACCCATGTGTTATAGTTTTATTTAAACATATGAATCCTTCCCATCTAGCTTATCTTATATGTTCATCTTATCATTTATGTTCAAATCTCCTAGTTAGTGTACTATTCTCACTTCATCCTATAGATCAATGTTATCCATCTTATTTCACTTATCATATAGTAATAATTATATTTTACTATGATCACATAGTTTATATCTCATATAATTCATAACATTTCTTATGTAATTACTTATACTTTATCATCTAACACATAAAAGAACAAATCAATCCATATACTCAAGCATACATACATGTATATTCAACTCATGCCTTTAATCATGCATTCATGTGTAACACTTCAGGAAATAGACTCATCGCAAGTCTTATTCCCATTGCACATCATATACTATTGAATATGCACTCACTTGGCCTCACTAGTCAATTCCAATCTCTTATCTTTCCCTTGATCGATCTTACTTGCCAAACGTTCCGGAATTTCTCTATGCGTAGAATCTACATAAATGTACATTTCGAGGTAATCATTAGATACCTACACCTTTTAATTAGATACTAGCAGCTTAAACGAACTTATTAAACCAATATTCCCATTTTCCTTTAGGGGGAATCGGTTCCCTACTGAGGGGGTATCGATTCCCTCATGACATTCTGGAAATTTGTCGTTTGAAGGGGTATCGGTTCCCCTTGAATGGGTACCAATTCCCCTTGCCCAGAAATCATATTTTCAACCCGAAAATTACTTCATTTCCACTTAAACACTTCATATATCATCCCCTTTTCATTCTTAACTCTAGTACACATACTTAAACCAATCTATATTCATTTATTTCATCTTAAACCTCAAAATCCTATCTTCCATGAGATTCAAAATCATACCAAATTTTCAATGTGTTCTAATTCCAATTCTAACACTTCATACTTCTTAATTTAACCCTTGACAAGTCAAATTCAACTTCACAATCTATTATCTACTTCCATATCAAAAATTCACTTAAAAACTCATTTTTCTTAATTTCTCATAACTTGTTAATCTTTGAGGTTTAAGCCACCTAAAGCTTTCCTTAATCTTTCTTAATATCCCAAGAATCAAACAAGCTTTAAAACGAAAGAATTAACCAACTAAAGACCCACTTACCTTATACCAGGCTTCACGGTTGAGAGGAGAAGAAGACTGAAGAATGCTCTGGACTCTTCTTCCTACGCTTATTACCCTTTATAAAGGGAAATAAAATTATTCCCTGAAAAATTACCATAGTACCCTTAATATTTCCAAACTTAATCATTAAATCCAACATCAACTTTCTTCAATTAATCCATGAACTTTTAACTTATTTCGAAATCGAGCACCTAGTTTACAAAATTTGCAATTTAGTCACTGACCCTGATTTGGGATGTTACATAACCTCTAAGAATCTTTCATATATATATATATATATATATATATATATATATATATATATAAACTTGAAAAAATTTAACCTTACAAGTATATTTGTATTCGACACTCACCCTCGAAATAGAGTCTGCAATATTCACACCTCATACATAGATATGAGAATACAACCTCTAAGAATTATCCTCTAAAACTATGGGAAAACATGAAAAATATTGATCATTTGTTGATAAGAACATATGATATAGAGAGTCGCAGTCGATGATCATACGACTGTTGACTTGTATCAAAGTCCTTTGTTTTCACTTTTCATAAGGAAGTTGAAAGAGACAAATGAACAAGAGGGTTCAAATCTGTCAAAATCAGGAGATTTTATAGTAACCTTTATGTAACCATGATGGTTATTCCTAGGTTGGCACGATAAATAAAACTCGATTGATGTGGTTAGTTGTTAATTAATTTTGGTTCTGACAGATCACATAGGACATGTCAGATATTATATTAAAGAGTTGTAAGTATCGAGAAGTGAAAGACTTCGAAAACCCTATATTCCAAAGATGTTCTAAAATCTCAACTGCAGATATATTTTCTGGAGGTATATATATATAATCTAGCATTCTCACCCAAATCCGAATAACATAGGCATAATTTGTATTTCACACTTGAGAAAGAACAATTAGGTGTTTCTATTACTCAATTTGAAACTTCTACCATAGATTCAGACAACCTTAAACTTTTCAAACCAAATTCAATCTCCAAACATTAAAACAAAACCACACTAAAAGTTCAAAAAACAAAAGAAATATTGGCTGGGGACATACCTTGACAGTGAGTTTATGAGCATCAGGCAAAGGATGAGCATCAGACAAAGGATGAGCATCAGGCAAAGGATGAGCATCATCCGGATTGACAATGGAGTATTTGCCGACACTCAGTGCATTTGTCTTAACATCTTCGGAAACACATTTGGTTTGTCCTGAATCCAACTCAAACCTCATTGATTCCCCAAACTCTGCTTCCAACATTAATCCAAGGATTATCAGAACTAAACCCAGATTTTGTCTACACATTCTTGTCTCAAAAACCCCAAAGCTTGTTGCTTCTCTTTTTCTCTGAGAACTTACGACAATTGGATTGAGATCTGTTTCTTTTGATGTTGGAACTTACGACAACCGGCAGGGCTTTTGTTATTAATAATAATAATGAACAATAGTTAGAATCTGCCGATTTAGATTGGAACTGAGGTTTTTTATTCTGTAACTGCTTTTCGTTTGCAATATTCTATTGGATGTAATCATCACTTACAATAAGTTTTTTTAGCCAATAGTGCAATTTCTTTCCTTGAAAAAGAATCAATTGAACTCGGGGGTAAGGGACTCGTTATTCTCCTTAGAATCTTTGTATTTATATTTAATGTAATATATATATATATATAATTTTCAATATGATACTTGTACTATATAAAATATCTAATTTGTATAAATATTTTAACAAACCTTCTAATGTGGTACATGTACTTTTTTTTAATATCGAATGTGATACTCAAATTTTGATAACATGACTAATAATACTTGAACCGTCAATTTGTTTTTAAATTTATCAATTTCTTTAATATTAAATCTAGAATAACCTTTTCACTTAAACAAGTATGTTTAATTCAACTTAAACATTTTCACTTAACTCGATCTAATCCTCACTCCTATCATGTTTTAATCATGTAGATCTACATTCACAACACCTTCCCTTGCTCCAATCAATTCCCAACAGCTCCTTGTAAGGGGTTTTGTCTGAAAGATTTTAGTCAAGAAGTCGATCTAAATTCAATGTCGCTCAAGATTCGAACTTAAGTTCTTACACTCGCAAGACGAGACTATCAAACCGTATAAGCTGTGAGCCTCTAACTGCAACATCTATAACTTCACCTATCCCTAAACCACGACATTCTTTCACTGGTACGGCTTTGTAAGTGCGGGTTTCTGTGGAGGACATGGTATGCCTGCTGCATTAACTGTTTCTCACCGTGGCTTTGTTCTTTTGCATATTGTCTGAAAGTTCAACAGGATGGATGCGTTAGAATAATCGAACCACCATGCGCTTTCCATTCAACTAGACCAAGCAAGGAGCAAGGAGGTTTACACCGAACTCGGTTCGATTGAGTCATTTAATCATCCTTTAAGAAGTTACATTATGCAACTCAAGTTTCAAATCCCAACACCTGCAAATCTGTTCTCTTATCGCCTAACGCCTCTATTCTAAATGGAGGACTAATACATCAACAGTAAAACAGCATGAGTTAGAACAAGGGGGGCAGGGAGGTTTGAATCGAACTATAGAAGTGTCGGCAGCTCCAAATTCAAATAAATCAACAGTATATGTTTAAAACAAAGCATTGAATCCAACTATAGAAATGCCTGCAGTAAGAATATGGTAAACAATCAAGACCAGAATATGGTAATTGCAGCAGTAAGAATGTAGACTAAATGACTCCAAAATCGTTATATACAAAGCAGATTAAAACACAAAGCAAACTCATGCAAACCAAAAAAAGGATATTATGCACCTCGTCATTTAGGCCAAGTGTATGCATTCTCCAACTCAGCCGGTTCGAATCCCTCTTACCCGAAACTTAGAATAAAAATAAAATGGTTTCAGATATTACACACTCGAATTATTCAACTCTCCAACATAGCACTTACTTCCATAGGTATAAAATAAAAAGAAACTACACCAATTTTTGTATCAATGATACTCAGAACCTCCCACCAAATCAGTTTCTCATATAACATTATAAGTAGCTATGTTACTCTGATTCTTCATTTTTCTTGAAATACCCATATCCAACACATTTCCAAAAGGGTAGGGGTTATGACCCTTAACTTGAAAAATCAAACCAAACATATCGGATACATACCAGTACCCGCAAATATGTCCAACCGTAGCTATGCAGTCCAACAATATTGATAAAAGAATATACACAACGCAACCAAAGGAAGATTAAGCAACTCAGTTACTGGCGTGTTGCAAAAACCTCAATGAGCTCCTTCATTCTCTCAAGTTATACAACAACGATTGAAAAAAGAATAAACTCTTACCTTTCATTTGAGGTCTTTGTGCCGGAGATAATTAAAAAACATGCACCGTAGAAGACAACAATACATAGTCCTTTCCCATGCTTATAATGTCCTTCAATTAAGAAATCCATTGGTAGCCTAAACTAGCTTTTTTTCCACTAAACAATGCCATGCATATATCGTTTGTTAATGAGTGGAACCATAAACATTGATGACTAGATGCCATGTTAGAACCATAAACACCATGTTTAGCATGGCTGGAAAATAGAAACGGAAAAATGGTAAGGTAAAAAGGGGGAAGAAAGTTATTTTTCCTTTCTTGTGTTTGACATAAAGGATGGAAAACAAAGAAGCATAATGATCAACTTAAATAGGAAGGGTTTTCTTGTCCAAGCTGCAAATACACCCATTTTAATCTTAGAAAACAAAGGGATGCATCGGAAAACTTTCCACCCATTTCTTTCCTTTTCCCATCCTACCAGCCATAGTAAGATATCATGACTATCACCAAATTCTACAGTATAACTCAGAATTTATATTACATGCTCAAGGAAATGGTTTAAGCCGGGGGAAAGTGAAAAATAATCGGTACTCTTCAAGTTTTTCAGTAATCATGTTTTCAAGAATCTATCCCTCAATAGCGTTAAGTTGATACCAATGGACTTCTTGATTAAGGGACAATATGAAGACACAAGGACCATTAATCTGATTTGGATGCTAATAAAATTGAATGAAAATGCCTGTATTCCAGTTTATGTCTTCACCGCTACGTATCGGGGTAAACTGGGTAAGCTGAGGATAAGATTCAATCATAAATTAAGACAACCAGCGAAATTAAGGAAATGAAGAAGACAAATGTCAGATAATAAACTCAGCACTCTCAGTACAACTGCCAGTGGATGGAAGAAGGTACAAGGTTTAGAACCTCTAGACAAATGCAAACTAAAAAGCAGAAACAACAAAATAAGGAAATAAAAGTCTGCAACAAGCATGCCGGCTAACTAGGTTCTTGGGGAGCACATATAACAGAGCTTGGTGTTTTTGGTGTCATGGACATGGAAAATTTCAAAGAGAATAGTAAGATCTTCACATATATTTGGTCCTTCTAGGTAGTTGCAACAGGGTGGGCCATGAGTATGTCAAACCATGGTTCATCTGGTCTTCAGGTTTAGGCAGGCTTCAGCAAAGTAAGCAGTAGGCTGGCTTCAGGCTTCATAAACCAGCTGTTTTAATGGGATTGGAATGGCAACAAAGGGAAAAAACGAGCATCAGATCTGTAATTGGGGAGATTGGATAGGCTATACACTAGTATGTATTGGTCCAAATCAGAGAATTGCCACTTATAGAAATAGACAAAAAAATACTTAGAAAACTCTAATCTATCTGAACGTACCAATTCACAGAATTTTAGTAACCGTGATTTTAGCGCCGGGAAACAGGGTTATGGCTTGATAACCTGGTAAGAGAAGTTAATGATGAATATTGAAGAATCCTAATAGAGTGTGCATGTACCAACCTAATCAAAACCAAAAGACCTAAAGACATGCTTGAGAAATAACAAATTTTAGACTGGCATTGTTCCCTTGAAGAAAACTTTATGCCATGAAGTTCAAATATTTAAATGTGATGTTTGTAAAAGAGCAATCACTTCCTCAGCCCCATGCATTTTTCCTACATTGGCATCCATGACAATAATATGAACAACAAAAATGTTCTTTTAAGGAAAGAAATTATTCTCACCCAGGACCACCACGCCCTGAAGAATAAGCTCCATAAGCACTGGAACTATTACCAATCTACAAATAATATTAATAATCATAATTATTCATTATCAGCACGGCGAGAGAGAAAAAGAGGCAACAATGTAAGCAAAATGGGAAAGCTGAAACACTAAAAAACTATATTAAGAACAATATGGAAGGGAACAAGCTAAGGCACTAAAATATTCACTTGATAACTGGGATAACAAACAAATTATATTTTTGTACTTCACCTGCCTAAGGTACTATAAAACAGTAAAAGTAAAGAAATACCTGGAGGCCACCATAACTTCCATAGCTGTCACTAGCAGCTAAATCACTGGAGCCATAACCACCAGAATAAGTATGCAGACGCCCATGTCTCTTGCCCTCTCTACTTTCATAACTCAAGCTGTTTGTTCCTTCAGTTGGCATGTGAAGATATGGCAAGACTGGCACTAATGCAGAAACAGAACCTTCCCTATCAAAAAGATTGGCTCTTAACCGCGTTGTTACTTGTACCAGGGCATCCTTAGCAACATCAAGGTCTCCAGAAATCTGATAATACATATAAACCAGCAATGTTTACTCTCCATTCCTGTTAATTGAAAAACATACAAATACACAGAAATGATTAAGAAAATCCTATAAAAGCACCAATGGTACTGCACCTGAACCATCTCATCATCTTCAGATGCTATTTTTGGAAGGTTTTCCTTTGACAAGATACGGATATTAGCTTTTGTAATCCTTCTCATCTCAGTTACAATAGCTCCACCTTTACCAATAAGGCAGCCAATACGTGAAGTTGGCACAAGTAAACGGGTTGTGAATGATATAATTCCAGAGTCTCTTTCAATCTTCTCACTGCATCTAGGTTGCAACCGTGCAGATGCTTCAATAGCAGGTGAAAATGTATCCTCAAAGAACTAATACAACACAAGATTAGGATATCATCAAATCTAGCACAAGGCACAGGCACAGATACTTCCACAAGACATAAACATATTAAAAAGCTTACCTCTTTAGCTGATATAGTTATTATGCAATCATCTCCATCAGTACTTGTGCTATCTACTTTGATCGCTGCACCTGAATCCTGCCTGATCTGGTTGATTATGGCACCACCTTTGCCAATCACACCTCCAATATTAGCAGTTGGACAAACCAAACGAAGAGAAAATTCTTTTGATGACTTCTCATCCCTTGGAGCTGAGTACATGGAGCGTGGCCATTCTCCAGTGTCACCTTTGTATCGTCCATATGGACCAACCAATGAAGTTAACCCTACAACCTGGGCACCAGCAGAAGGACCAAGCATTGCACCACCAGCAGGATATGCATTGGACACAGCAGAAGCAAGCAAGTGCTGAGTTCGTGAAGGATTCTCATGAAGGCGAGATGCAATTTGATGCAGAGCCCTTTTCACAACAGCAGCTTCCCCAGATATCTAAAGCCAAAAGCAAATTAGAAGTGTAACAAACCAACCATTTGTTAACATAATAATAAGATGAAGAAGAAGAAGAAGAAGAAAAACTATCAATGTTACAGGTAACAAACAATATAGAGTAAAATTATCAGGACAGAGTTAAAAATATATCTGATGCATGCCAAAAATAGAAGCACAAAAGACTAGGAGTAAAATTCATAAATTGACGAACTCAAGACTGAATGGTTAAATACTGAATTGTTGACTTCAGCAATTAAAGACAACAAAGTTTGCGTCCAAACATTGACCCTAACCACAAGTAAAAATCTCTTTAATAAACTAAGACTCTTCTCCGAAGAACCTTTTCCTGTATCAATGTATGGTGTGAAATATATTTTAAATGAGAGGATATAGTGGAACAAATCAGCAAAATCTAAAACACTACCACAAATTGAATAGTCAAATTACCTGTACAAGTTCATCTGAAGGCAAGGCACAATAAGGTAAATCATCCTTAAGAATGCGAATCTGGGCACCAGTTTCACTACGTATGTTCTGAACAATCTGTCCACCCTTTCCTATGATATATCCAATCTGATCAGAAGATACAAGAAGCCGAGCAGAAATTTGGCGGCCTTCAAAATCTTCATCACTGTGCAGATCTTCAGCAACAACTTTGTCATGCACCCGGAATAAAGCATCTTGTGCAGGAGAAACAAAAGTGTCCCCATCTTCAAGGGCATTTGTCTCGTCTCTAGAGCTGTAGATAGTTACCACACGCCCCTCGGAACCAGGAACTGACTCACCAATTCTAATCTTCGATTTGGTGTCTGCCCTTAATTGCTTAACAATCTCCCCTCCCCTTCCAATAATGCTTCCTATCTTTCTCGCAGGGCACAAATACCGATAGACGGTATCATCTGAGCCAATAACAAATTGTTCCCTGTCATCACCTGCATTTCTCCTCTTATATGATCCATTCTCAGAATTATCAGACTGAGAATGAGCCCGCTTCACATAGCTATTCCTCTGACCCGCCATTATTATCAGCAAAATAAATACCTGGCTCCAAGACAATTGCAAAACATTTCAAGACTTACTAACTGAACCAATCTTGAGGATCAAACCATCCAAAATGTAAGCACCAGCACAAAAGCTCATCAACAGACCTAATCAACAGGTAGTAAAGTGATATATTTTCATTTTTCAATCATCAAATCATAATTCATATGACAATAGATTTCCACTTGATTGTTGTTTTTACAAATTCTTTTTTATACAAACAAAAAGAACAAAAAAAATGTCTAGAGACAGAAACATATACATATTTTTAGAGGATAAAAATATTCACCTTAATGAACAGCAATATGTTCAAAATTACTTTCACACATAAAAATAATGTTTCAACTTTGAATAAATACTAGGCACCAAGCATTCGTTCATATAAACTGAAGCAAATGGAAAAAGTATCAGTAACAGCATTGAAAACAAAACAGTTGCATAAATCCTAACATATATCAGCTTTCCAAATAGGCAAATTCAAAGAAAAATAACCAACTCATGTCAACTTTGATCTACAAGTTTATCTTCTACAAGAAATCAAAATCCCGCTGAAAATCACCCATCCAAAACTAATATAAACAGATAATCAAGAGAAACTCAGTATTAGAAAGACTCGGTAACGTGAAAGAATATAAAAATCAAATCAAAGCCACAAATTCGAACGGCATACATATAATTAATCTCGAAAAAAATAACAGAAAAAATAGACTCAATAAATAAACTATAATGCGTCACATCCAACACAATAAAGCTGAAGCCAACGGGGAAAATACCTATAATTTCAGCTGTGAAATAATAGAAAAAGATAATAAACAACAGCTATACACGTAGATCTTATCAAAAGAGAGACTAAAAGTACAAAAAAGAAATTAAAGAAGAGCAATCAAAGGGGAAATAATTGCCAAAAGATATTGGGGTTTTACCCGATAATTGATGTTGATTCTCAACGTGTAAACGACGAGATTTTAAATAAATGAAAGAAAAGAAAAGGCTAAAGACAGATTTTTTGGGACGAAAGACGAATTTCTTTCTTCGTTTTGTGAATTGTTCTTGGGGTCTTTTTCCCTAGGGTTTCGTTTGACCGTTCTGGCTTTATTATTATATATATATATATATTGTTGGGTTGAGACTTAATGTGAAAATAACTGATCAAATTATATTTATATACTTTTATTGTTTAAATATTTTTTCAAAACCAAGTGTTTAATGTTTTAATATTATTTTTTATTTTTGAGTGTTTACGACCTAATTATCGTTAAAAATCTTCATTATTTAACACATATACTGTTTATATTTTCCTAAAAATATTTAATTAGAAAACTTAAAATATTATTCTTTTTAATGCCCAATTTTTAAAAAAATAAAAAAAATCAAAATTTCTCTAATTTCGAACCTTATTTCTAGTCTTCATTGACCATCTTGAACCACCGTCTCCATCAAAAGATCATCCACCTGTCCAAACTTACTTACTAATTGATCATCGTCCTTGTAATTACTCTAAACCTCTAAGTTGATAACCTTAAAATTAATCCCAACACCACATATGGGAAGATTTGATGTTGACTAAAATAATTCTAACTTTGGGGTAGAGGAGGCCTTCATATATGTTCATACTATGATATGATTTTATTTGGGAAGGGGTAAATTTATCACCGAATAAACGAGATTATTTTTTCACAAAAAAATGAGTACTTTTTAATAATATTTTATTTTTCTAAAATAAAATTTTTAATATATATATATATATATATGACATTAGTTATATAACAGTTTTTTAACGGTTGTTATGCATATGCACTTAGGTGAGTAACTTTAGAAACATGATACACCTACTTTGAGAAAAAAAATATTCTTTAGACACTTACAAATAATTTATAATATATTTTAAACACTTATTTTTGTATTAAGCCTATGATTAAAAAAGAGATTACAAGAGACATGACACAAAAGAAATAGGGGTGAAAATAAATAGAATAATTTTAAAACATTACCATTTAGGGACCAGATTGTAAAATGAAATAAATTCCGGTTCTTAGCTTAAAACCCCAACTAACTGGTTTTTAAGGAAAAATTGACTCATTTCAAGGCCAAAGGTAGAATTTCAAGTCTTTTGAATTAAAGACATAATTTAACTGTTCCTTAGATTTCAGTCCTTTTTTGTAAGTACCATTTCATACAAATTTTCCTTTTTAAAACGTTAAATAGAAAAAGAAAACAATTTAGATACATAAAAATAAACACCTAAATAATATACAAATATAATTTAAATACTTGTTTTTTAATTAATATGGGGCTAATATGAGCTCGAGAGAAAGGGATAACGGTTATGCAGATTTCCAGTAAATAAATAAACAAATAATCTTATTCCTATTCACTTTCTCCTACTAATTTTACAAATATTTTTTAAATAGCGGTAAAAAAGAGAGGATAAAATACATATTTAGTTACTCACATATTTCTACAGGCCTATTTTAATTAAAAAACTATTTTTTTAAATCATGTCTGACATTACGTTTTAGTCATCCGTCATTGAAAATAAATAAATGTTACGTGAAATTTTTAGATTTTTTTTTTTGATGATGTGACATTACCCTATAATGACTCGTAAAGGTATAGAGCTAGAAAAGTTTTTGTGTCAAATTTAAAAATTATACGAATAAAAAATTAAGTGAAAAAAATTGAATTTTAAAATTTTTATTATTAATTTTTTAAAATACGGGTCAATTTCCTTTTGAAAATGTGTCAAAACTTTTCTAAAAGAGGTCATCTTGTTCTTTTATATTATATATATAATTTATATGGACAAAAAAGTGTGTATAAATTTTTGGGGTGTCAATTGACACCCTTCAACACATGCTGACTCCATTACTGATGATTCGTAAACATCATCGTTAGTTTTTAATGTTAGGTGACCAATATGTAAGGTTGAAGATGACTTTTTAAAAAATAATTGAATGATCAAAATTATAACACTAGAATAGATGGGGGACTGAAACCTTAGTTTATCCAAAAGAAATCCTATACGCTGTTCCGTCAATCGAAAAAAGTAAAAAAGAAGAGGCGTAATTTAGTAAATTTGGACCACAGATTCTCACTTTTGACCAGATTTATTTTTGTCGAGAAAATATCCTCATCAATTAAACAAAACTCCCAGATTTCCTCGTCGCTCAAGAATACTACAAGTTTCTTGAGAAAATTCCCGTATTTTCTGTCAAATCAAACACCCTTCCTCAGAATTCCTAGATGTCAACCTCAAGCCAACCTCAATTCCGTTATACCCAGACGCCATCGAAGGTCCTGCATCTCCGTAATCTCCCATGGGAGTGTTCGGAAGAGGAACTCATCGAGCTTTGTAAACCCTTCGGGAAGATCGTTAACACTAAGTGCAATGTCGGCGCCAATCGGAACCAAGCTTTTGTTGAATTTGTAAGCTTCTAAATCCTTCCATTTTTAAAAAGTTCTTTATTATGTTTATGGATTGCTTTGTGTTGACGAAAAATAAAGTTCAATTTGTGTTAGGTAAGGGAAGTCAACTATTGGTTGTCTACTCTTTTGGGATTTTGATTTTCTAGTGTAAATTTCAGTGTGTTCCTTCAAATTGTCAACGTATGAGTTCTTTTTGTGAGATTTGTTTTCTTTACATTTCATGGAAAAATTTTGATTTTTTTGCTGATTTTTTAAATATTTTGATATGTAAATTTGATGGGTTAATTGCAGAATTGCAAAGTGTTGTAATTAATTTTTAATTTGGCGGTGAATTGGGATGGGGAACTGATGCTTTTGTTCACATTTGAAAGTGTAAAGGGAATGTTATTTTTCCTAGGTGACCCGGTTTCGAACAGTTTTGTCTGCCGGTATGTGCGTGAGTTTATCCATATTTCAAATCGGACACAAACACTACCTTGTAATCATATTAGAATCTTCAAAAAAGAAAGTGTAAACTTTGATATGTTAACTTCACCACCAATCAGGTTGGATTTTGAATTTTCTTGGATGATAGTTTATTTTGTTTTGTCAAGGGTAACTTATCATTTGGGTTCTACTTCTATTCTTCTTTTTTCAGTTTGAATTTCAATGGGTTAATTTCACAAGTGAAAGTTAGAGAATATTTAAAGGCTGAGCAGTTATGTTTTTCTGTTACTCAATTATGTTACTTTTATTTTCAGGTAGACTTAAATCAGGCTATTTCGATGGTTTCATACTATGCTTCATCATCAGAGCCAGCACAGGTTCGTGGAAAACTGTATATATTCAATATTCAAACAGACATGAAATTGTCACACAACAGAGTCCTGGAGATACCCCTGGAAATGTTTTGCTAGTTACCATTGAGGGTGTGGAAGCTAATGATGTGACCATTGAGACGATTCACTTGGTAATGCTTATTACTGGTGCATGCATTTCTCAAATAAACGCCATCAATTGTTACAGAGTCTCTATTCTATTGCTGCTAAAAGAATTGGCTCTCTAGAAATTTTGAAGCCTCTTTTTGCTTCAAGTGCTCTAGATTAAGTAGCATATTTGTATGGTTAAATGAAGTTATCTTGAATTTCTATGTCTAGAAGTGGCCTACTTTAGTTCGGTCAAAATCTTGTGAACTACCATGTTTGAAGTATCACTTCTATTTTTGTATGTTATTTCTTATACGACTGATGAGAGATGATGTTCTTAAATCCTGTACTTTAAGGAATATGCTTTTTAATAGGAGAGCACAGGGCTGCTTCTTATATATTTGAAATGAAGTAAATTGTTATCTTTTCTTGTTCTTTTACATATATTGAGATAGCATTTTTTTATCGAAGCCAGCTGAATCACATATGGTTATGCCCCTTATATGTATTCCTTTGTTGGAGACAGTTTGGAAATATTATCATGTACGTCATACTCCTTTCTAAGGTCTATCTTGAGGCATGTATGCACAGGTGTCATTCTGCACTTATTTCTTGTCCATTTGGATTTGTTAATAAAGATTTTACGTTATACCCATGTTTGTGACAGTTTCTAATGTCCTGTTCTCATTTGTATTTGTGATATCTACTTGTTTCTGATTTAATTTTGTTTCAGGTATTTTCGGCATTTGGTTTTGTTAACAAAATTGCTACTTTTGAAAAGGCTGCTGGGTTCCAGGTGAGATGGCAAAATTGGATTTATATTTTTGGATCTGTATGTTTTTCAATATGATGTTCATGTTTATGACAATTGTTGGCAGGCATTAATCCAATTCACTGATGCTGAAACTGCTTCTTCAGCGAGGAATGCCTTGGATGGTAGAAGTATTCCCAGGTATGTACTGCTTCCTTGCATCTTCTTCCTCCTTCCACACCAGGAAACATTTTTCTCATTTCTCTAGCATCATCTAATTCTCTTCATATTGATTGTGTATGTATGGTACTATGGTTTGAGAATTAAAAAAATTTGGTTGCATGCTAATGTTTTTTTCATGATATTATTTAGGTACTTGCTTCCAGATCATGTTACTTCTTGTCACCTGCGTATCTCGTATTCTGCACACACTGATCTAAATATCAAGTTCCAGTCTCATCGGAGCAGGTACAAGCTGTTCCATGAAAACCAAGTGGTTTTCTCATTGAAATTCAACGTTTTGGTCATGTTTATTCCTGAGATTTCAAGTAATATGACTACAAAACTTTTATTGTGGCATCGGATATGTTGTTACTTAATGTGTATGCTTTTGGCATCTAGGATGTTAGTGAAGCCTGTTAGTCAGCACACATATGTGTTGTCATGACTGCTTAGTAATTTTCTTAAATATTGAATGCACAATGCTCAAGCAAATCTCAGCATAGTTGAAGTTTTATGTCGATTATGGAATTGCCTTTTGGTGGTACCATGAGTGATAGTCACCCTTTATACAAATATGTTTTTCGGTAATTGACTAGAACGTGTATCCTCTAACATGCTAGTGTGGTAATATTAATCTGATTTCAGGTTTAAATATTGCTTTTAAGCTTGTTTAGCGTTCGCCACTGGGAACTTTATCTTTGGAGTTGATACTCCCAGCAACTGCTTTGTGTTTGCTAATTATTTATTCTATTAGCTGGTATTT